GGGAACAACTCCTCTTTAGACCATCTGTCTTCAGGCCCTTGTATGGTCCTCCTGGCCTTGTCCCTAACAGACCTGGTTTTCTCCCCTTCCCCCTTCACATCTAGTTTAAAGCTCTCTCAATGAGTCCTGCTAAGTCCTGCCCCAAAAGCCCCTTCCCCCTCTGGGACAGGGGCGTCCCACCTGCCTTCATCAGGCCAGGTGTCTCATATAGCAGCCCATGATCAAAGAATCCAAAGCCCTGCCTTTGGCACCAGTCTCGTAGCCATTCGTTGACCTGTAGACTCTTCCTTTTTACGTCTACTCCCATTCTAGCAGGAGGTATGGAGGCAAACACTACTTGCGCTCCAGACCCCCTAACCAGCTGTCCCAGCGCCCTAAATTCCCTCTTCATTGCCCTTACATTTCTTGTAATACTTCTCCTTACCTCCACAGCCTAAGAAAGTCTGGGCAGGATAATGCAATTAATGAAACACATAAGCCTTTCATATTTGGAAACCTGGACCCTGAAACTGAGGCAGCTCTGGACAAGCCAGGCAAGCCAGGTTCTTCCTTTCCACCCAGTGAGGTTAAAGGCCTTACACAAAGCTATCTCTGCTCTACAATGGAGTTACACCAGAAGACATAACTTTTTTAAAAGTCTAATAATTATAGCAGGCTATCTAGGATGTATGGGAAACATACGAGAGAGGCAACAGCAGCCTTCCCAGAAAACACTATACAGCAGTTCAGCCCAGGATAAGAAGATGACAACAAAACAGTTCTACAGCATAACACCAGCTGAAGAAAGAAACACGATCATGGTCAGACAGCTAAGATTTTCTCAGGTTCCATTGTAAAGGGGCTATTTTAAGATAGTGGAGTAGCGTTACATAACTCCAACAACATTACAGAAAAAAAGGCAGAGAGGAAAATAAGAATTATCTGACATTCACTAACCTGAAGCTGTTTCACTGTCCAAATCCTTTGGTACAAAGTATTTCCCTGGCACCAGGAATTTCAGTCTCTAATGTCAGAGTACTTTTTCACTAGTGTGCAGATCTGCTTACACCACTGGCAGCTGGCCAGGAGAAATGGTCAGTATAGGAGCTATTCTAATATTAATATTGCCTTCTGCATCTGGGCAAGAGCCTGAGCCTCTGAATATACTGTATTAATTATATGTTTTAACCAATAAACAAAGTTTTCAAAAGTCTGTGTGGAGCAGACAAAAGAGAATGCAGGTTGCAAAGTATTAGGTATAGAGGTAAAAACAGAATTGCAGAAGTGGAAAAAAAACTCCAAAAGCATCAAGAGGTACTTATGTAGATATCAAACATGTTGTAGCCCCTTGGCATACTTTTGTCAGCAGTTTAAAGCCAGTGTGTTTTTTGAGAGGGCCCAAGAAAAGACACATATGAATAGAAAAGGCATGCAGCATTCTCAGCAGGAGGGAGAGATCATAACAGAGAGGGTCTCACCCAAACCACTGACAGCACACTGCACAATCCCACAATTCTTCACGAGTGTGATCAAGAGTTTCCTGGCAGCGGGAGAACCTCCTCCCACTTTGACTATTGCAATACAGTAGAACCTGCAGCAGAGATAGATCTGCTGATAAATTAGTGGCAACCTGCATCCAAGACACCATGAAAACTGGTACTGCCTGAAACTCTCAGACTTTATCAAGGGGTCTTGCTGCTGCAATATGGCACCTAACACTCAGCAAAGTGTTATTAGGGAAGACTGGTGACAACTCAGTGTTTGCTTGCCTCAGACTCCCTGAAGTTATTCTCACACACTCCAATTAATTCTCTCTGAGTTTAGCCACACAGATCAAAACCTTTTAGCAGCCCTCTAAAAGGTGGTTGCACTTTTCCGCTAGGCCTTGGTGATTTCATAATGGGTGCATTTTCTTATCAGTGTTTCCCAGAAGACAGTAAGACTTGCAGTCTGCAGGCTAACTGTTGAGGCTCTGTGTTTCCTCCTCTCAAAAGAGTGGGCAAGTTTTACAATATTTAGTAGAGTGCACACTCTGAAGGAACAAGTATAAGTAGTTTCTGTGCCTACTTACTAGTCTACTTTTCAGAAGTTGTTCTAAACCAGGAGTAACAGTTACTGGAACCACTAGCCTTATCTGAGCAAGGATAGTTTTGCTGACTGAACAGGAAGTTTCTAAGGACTTCTTCACAGATCCCACATAGTGACTGCCCCTCCTTACATGCCTTAAAGAGGACAGCAATGAGCCCAGGATTTAGTTATAGCCAGATACAAAGATTTCTAGCTTCTTTGGCTCATGCTGGATGTGGAAGGAATAGATAGACTTGAAGTCTGCTCTATAAACCCTCTGATCCTTCTGGTTTTTGCTCAAAACTCACACGTAGACAGAGGGATCCCAAATGTGATTAAGTTGGGCATTTCAGACTTCATCAGCCACACCTGTGATTTAAATTGAGAACTTTTACAGAGACTTAAAGGGAGGAATTGGTAGAACTTCCATATCAGGGTGAAGACATCGAAGGTGGTGTTGTTAGCTGTTAAGACTTTATTAACAGCCAGTGACATCGCCTAGGTCTCTAATTTGGTTCAGCAAAGGCAAAAGTGAAATTGGTCATGAGTGTGCCTGAGATGAGAAAGGAAGTATACATCAAGATCAGGCAGCAGCCACTATTTGAAGAAAGGGAACCTCTCAGATTCATATTAAAGGATCAGTTTCCTATCTTCTTATCAGTTCCTTCTGCAGACAAGCACTTGGCACATCACTCTACCAGCAGCAGGAAAGAGCCTCAGAAATTACTTCCATCAAGACAATGGGCACAGTGCAAGTGTGAGACCTTCTGCTGAACACCAACACTGAGCAACAACATAGCTAAGAAGAGGAAAGAGCCCAGCAATCTACAGCAATTGCCTTGAGGAAAACACCCACACCCCCTTTCCAGTCATCAAGCTCTACCATAGGCACACCTCCTTAGAAACTAGTCATTCATGTTGCAGTCCATAAAGTGCCACAGAAAGAACAGAATAAAAGGTGGAAAAAAAACCCTTCAATATCATCCATACTTTCTTAGACAGCACTTCTGCTGGTTTCCCAGAAACTTTCACAAAACAGAAAGTGAGCAAAACCCAAGACCATGACTGTGCTTCTATGGTCTATGTGTTCTCTGATCAGATCTCATCTCAAGCTCCAGAAGTGTAAGAAAAATAGTTGTTTGCCCCCACTACAACAACTGGCCTCATACAGATTATCCTTCCTTCACAGAGCCCTCATGAGTGGGCAACATCATTCTTTTCAGGTTGTTTGTGAAAACCTATGATTTTCCTTTTCTCCTTTACCCATCTCTCACAAACATATTATCTAAGTCACAGTCCTCACTCTTTTTCACTATTTTTTCATACTTTGTAGTTGAGATGGCTTCCATGGGTATCTGTGTCATCTTGCGCTGTTCCTTGGGCTTAAATGAGTCTCTGGGAACAGTGTTGGGATAAAGGGGGTATCGGTCCATGTACTCTGACAGCATGCACGGCTTCTCACTGCTCTCATAGGGTCTGGTGGGCAAGTGTGGACAACGGTGACATCTGCAAGGGAACAAAACAGCACAGGATTTAGTGACTCACACGTGGCTGATTAATAACACCTCACTGCAGAAGCCAGCTGAAGATTGCCACTCTAAAGCAGTGCATAAGTGGGCATTGCAGTGACTGCTATAGCCTTGATAATCTGAAGTGCAAAAGCATACCCTGCACAATGAAAGGGTTATTTCTGTCTACTACTAGAGCCTGCAGTCAAAAAAGTCCATGAAGCCAACAAAAACAGCCTAAGAAAAGCAAGTTCCCCTAGATGAAGAAAAAAGCAAGTTTATCTGAGATACAGCCAAGTGCAGTACGTTGTGCTGGAATAGAAACGAACGTCCCTTTTGTTCAATTTCTCATAAATATATTATCTGACTTTTCCCACAAATAGAGCTCATTTGTCTACACACACAAAAAGGTAACAGTGCGGGGGTCTCTGTTCACTCACACTTCGACAGCAGTGCTCTGCCCATCAGTCTTTCTGAAAGTAATTCACTCTGGGTACTGCAAGACCTCCCCATAATGTGCACCAAAACAAGGACACTGCGAACAAACTGATTTTCTGAGGTAGCTCCCTCCTGACTGGAATTAAAATGCCACCATGAATCGTCCATCATTGGTGACCTCCTTCTTTCCACACTGGGACCAGGTGAGAGCAGGATGGGCAAGGCTCATCCCGACAAAAAGAGGTTTGGGTTCCCACCCTCAGATTTCTTCCCAGAGACATAACAATTTATGTGCTTTTCTAATTTGAGTCAAACTCGCTAGACTCAGAGCCAAGTTTGCTGATTGAGGACTTCAGGAATCAGCCCACATGAATTACAGTGAGAGGAGGCCGCCTCTGGTTTTATGTGTCATACGTCATTTCTGTCAAAGTCAGAGTGTTTCCTACCGGATGTATGTTTTCCAGTGCTACGTCCAGTCCAGAGATTAGTTACGCATTTGAAAGGGCTTCTATACTTAAAGTCCCCATTAAATTGAATGTTGTGCAATCTAGGATCAGTAGTTGTCTAATTATCCAAATTTATATTGATAACCTCTGGTCTACATTCAAGGGTAGACCATCATATACTGAATCATTTTCCAGACTAGCACAAGAGGGGAAGAAGGGCCCAGAGGGCTCAAATAAACTGCACCATGTTTTTGACAAGCCAGTTTCTCAGTCAGATTATACAACTTTCTGTGAAATTATAAATAAGGAATCCTAGTAGATTTATTTTTGCCTTAGAGAATTTTTGAGCTTGGACCCAAAGGGAGTGCCACACTCTATGAGGAATCTTATAAAATTCCGGCTTTCATGAAACTGGAGGACAGGCAAACAGGAAAATGGAAAAAAAAAGATTAATATGCTTACTCTTGCTGGTCCATGTAACCTTGCTGGAATTAATTTTGTGACAAAAACCTTTCAAATATAGGCTGCACTGACATTTTCTGGCCACAGTTGGGGTCTTCCAGCATTTCTAGGAATTATTCCTTATTCTCCAAAGGAAAATGATCTGCCTATTCTTGCTGCTTCAAATATGCTGACTTCACATCATCCCTAAGTGGACTTTCATCCCTCTGCTCTCTTAAAGTCTTCTACACAGCAAGCTAGTGTTCAGCGTGGCTTCGAAGCATGTTGTTGAGGCCCTCATGTTAGCTTTTTGTGGTAAAACTGCACTCAGACTGGAGTGGGGAAAATATCTATACTATCTAGGCCATCATGGTCCATCATATGGTACTGACACTAGTCAGCAGCAGTATTTTGCAAATAAGAATTTGCTCATCAGGGGCAAATTAACAATGCTTCACTAATACTAATTCATCAGTTAGTATCCCATTACTGCTCAGCTGCAATCATAGGGTTTGGAGGGGCTGGTTTGTGACACTGGGATTCCCAAGTGGTGCAGAGCAGAGGCTTTGTGCAGCCCCCTGCCTGTACTAAGCAGGCTCTCCTCTGCAGAGACGACAGCCCACATCCTGATGGACATTTGTGAGGCAGAGTCCTGCGCCCACCCAGTAGCACTCTGGGCACTGGGGAAGGTGAGGCGTCCTGTGGATCAGCAGGACAAGGGTTGGTAATGCAGGTAACCCTCCAAAGACCCCACAGGAGAAGGCAAGGAATAACATCTTGCATCTTGCAGAACCTATGCTCTTCCTCTTGCATGAATGCCGGAGGACTTCTCAACAGCACAGCATGGAAAAAAGACCTGGGTCTCCTGCAGATGGTAGTAGCCCTAGGCTGCCAAGATCCTTACCCTCAGATGAAGTTAAGTGTTTAACATGATCTGGTAACACAGGTGGCTTTACACCACAAGCATTCACCCACTCTCGGTCTGTACAATTCTGCTTTCTTTGTTGGAATTCAGAGCACACAACAACAGAACAAGACATTTCAGAGTTAGCTCTTGGGAAAAGCACTTTGCCACAAATAAATCCTTCCTGGCAGGGCAGAGAAGTAAGCCTGAATGTTTTGTCTTCTATTATTTTCACTAAATTGTGATGAATGCCCACAGATTTAACATAACACTCACTGTATCCCAGACCACGAGCAGAAAATGATCATCAGTGATAATGCACCACCAATACATCACACTACAAAAGCTTTGCTTCTGCATCCATAGACACAGTCCTGAAAATATTTTTAATGGAGACTAATGTAAATAGCAGAGCAGAACTTTTAAAAGCAAGGAGTGGAACAATGCTAGGCTTTGAGGTTTGCTACACTTTACTACTCCTCCTGGCATGGTAGATATTTATAAAACAACTACATGATTCTTCAGTACTGAAGTCATTGCTACGTGACTGCAGCAAGTCAGCCCATTAATGTCAGAGATAACAGTTAAAATTACTGTATAAACATTTTGGTATTGCAGTTGTCAATCTGTATGCTCTTTTCTAAAAACTGATGAGACCTAAATTTTGACATTTGTTATGCTTACCTGCTTAGATATTAGGGGGATTTTAATTAATTTGACTCCGATTTTCACTGGTGCAAATTATGCTTTAATTGACTGAGGCCTATTGAGCTAGTCTGGCCAACAGTAGTGATAAAATATAATACCAAAGAAACACATAAAGTTTTTTGCTTACTAAGACTTATGGAAAAACAACACACTCTTTGAGGGTAAAAAGAATGCAGGTCCCCTGCCTTCAAAGGTGTTGGGTTCATCTAAACAGAATATGAGATTAAACAATTTATCAGCCCACATTAATGCTTGTTTAAACCAGAAAGGACAACCTGGAGCCATGGCTCAGGACCAGAATCCAGGGTGCTTGAGTCCAATTTCTGCACTCACCACAGTTTCCCTGAAAAGCACAGCTCTCTGTCAACTGGATACAAAACATAGGCTCTCCAGAGGAGAAAGAGGAATCCTGTAAAATTTATTAATTTCTCAAGATTTCTCAGACTTATCTGATTTTTAATGCCTGTTATTAATAATAAAAATTACCGTGGGCTTAAAATGCAGGTGGAGTGGTAAGAAAGTTGCACTATTAAAATCCTATTTTATCCCACTTATGTGGCTTACTACTGGTAATTACTGTTGACAGAGGTCATGGATGTCACGACATTACTGCTTGAAAGAAAAAACCATGAGGCTCAGGAATGGCTGAACTGTCATTTAGTTTTCCCTTGTGAAAAACATTTACCCCCATACCAAGCCCTGACAGGGAAAAGCATCATCTCCTTGACCACATACTCAGCCTCTTGCATCATCTCTAATTTCCATGAGTGGTCAGATCATGTGAGTGTTATAGAAACCTCTAGTTCAGATGAAATGATGCTGCCCAAAAAAAGATAGGTGTGTAAGGTCAGGCTTTAATAGCAGGAACTCATTGCCAAGAGTCAAGCTGCAAAGAAAATCGCTGAAGATGACTCTTTATTTGCACAAACCTCTTCTATTCCAAGCAATGGAGATGCAATTAGAGGCCCAGCTACCTGAGTGAGCTACAAAAGGATAGATGACAGATTAGGGGTTTGTGAGGGGAAGAAAGGCATCCATGTGCAATGTATCACACACGAATATTGAATATGATAATAGTATCAGGAAAACTAAAACACATTGTGGACAGGGGCATATGGGAAGTACAAGGTTCTGCTTTTAGATGGTGAATTCTTTTGGAATGAAAAGGAAATGTTTAATAAAAACAAGAGATCCCTTGAGAAAAGTGTGAAGTCCCTGTGATCATATCAGTACAAAAAGTATTACGCTGAAACATTTGGAAGGTTAACTGTAATACCTACGCAGCTCAGAAACTTTTATCTTTGTGTCATATCAAATTGCTGAACCCTGGATGCCAGACTTCACCTTTTCCCCATCACATGCATTCACCAAGTGTTAGAACAGCTGGATCAGTAATCACCCCACAATGAATAAAAGTGACAGAGGAGAAAGAGGTTCAACACATTTGCATACACACCGTCCTCACTGTGATTTCTGGCAAAAGTTTAACAAGAGAAACATGTACTTGTAGATGTATAGTGCTCATAAGTGCCAAAAGAATGAAATATACCATTGCTTAATCTTCCAAATTCACCTTTATCACCATGCCACCACTGGGAATCTAAGGCAGCTGGAAGGAGGACAGTACCCTGGAAAAGAACAAAACCCTGGGTTTTGTTATTATGTATTGTGGCTCTGTCCAGACCAAAAGCTGCAAAAAGTCTTCATGATCATCCTTTTTTTTTAGTGAGCTAGTGAACTCTGAGCAAGCCTCTGTATTAAGCTCACTATACTCTTCATGGACTCTCTTGCCTGTATCTACACTTATCTTGCTTTCTGCATGTGCAACGAAGAAAAGAAAATCTTTGATATAATCTTCCTACTAATCTCGCCTCAAATAACTCTCAACGAACAAGAATTGTACTGTTTCTCCACATGGTCATTAATATGATTTTAGGTACTGCCAATACAGTTCAGAGGGCTTTGGTGACTTATCTGTACTTCAGTACCTGAAAGTTCACAAGAGGTAATCTGCAGAAATAAATACTATCCTCCTACCTCTCTCATACATGTTCTCTTTGA